GTTTTAAGGTAAAAAGAAACAGAAACCTAGACTGCTTCTTATAATAATGATAATTAGCGCGTTATTTTCATTCTAAAATAAAATATATATATTAGGACCATTAATAGCTTTAGTATCTAAGGGCAATGAGTAACATTTCATTATGCTCATTTTTTAACATCTAGAGGAAACTATTTTTTCACTGTTAGGTAGAAAACAATATTTTTAGAAATTTAAAAAAATACCATGCAGTGCTATGCATTACAACTCTTATTTTCTTATTGTATTCTTGAATATTCTGGTTTTTGCCAATGAACACATGCCACCTGTGTATGTACAATTATACATAAACAGCATTTTAAACAGTTGCATTTTTTTATTTTTTTGAATTTTAAAAAGTACAAATTTTTTCAACCTAAAATGAATTATTCTTATTTTTCTTCAAAGGAAAAAAAATACTATGAAACCAATCCAATTCTACAGATGCTGTTCTTTAGACCTTAAAAAGTCTTAGGAGAGAGAGACAATGCCAAAGGGAGAGAATGAGCCTCATATTTGGGTAGGAAAGGACTCTGTCTGTGCTCTGGGGCTCAGGGTTTGACCTGCAGGGGAGATGGCAAAAGTCACGTGCCTTCAAACTACTTGTGAAAAGACACTAAGCCTGCAGAAGAAAATCTAATCATGCACATCTCCCCTGTAGCCTAGAAATCCAGCACAAGAATCTATTTTTGTTTCAACATAAAATTCAAAAGAAAAATTGTCTCTATTATCACTAGAGATGGACAAGCTTTACCTTCTAACAACAGACAAGAGTTAGAAAGGACCAGTTCTAGGGCAGGGAAATTTTGTTTCCATATGAAGGTGGTTAATCATTTTGACTCTCACTGCTTGCATACTTTGTACCTGCTGTGATTTTTACTCATTTACCTAGCCACCCCTACCTGCCTCTCTGACATTCAGCATTTGAGTAACAAGACAGCTGAGAATGGTGGGTGAGGCAAATTGTATTTTCCAAAGATGGCAGCAATACCTCTAGCTCACACGTTCTTCCACAACATAACCTTACCATGCACCATCAAGAAGTAGAAAATAATTCCCCTCCCCCCGGTTCTGGGCAGACTTTATGACCTGCCTGTAACTAATACAATGTGGTGGAAGTGAGGTTCGGCGCCTTCTAAAGCTGTGTCAGAAAAAGCCATGCATCTTTTACCGCTTCTCCTGGGGTGCTTGTCTGGGGAAAGCCAGCCACCATGTAAGAAGTCTGACGACTCTAACGCCACCATGCTGAAGAGGCCACGTACAGGTGCTTTGGTGGCCAGCCCAAGTTAAGTTCAGCCTCTGAGCCATCTTCACCAAGACACCAGGCATATGAAGAAGCCATCTCAGATACTCCATAGCAGCCTATTTGTCAGCTGAGTAACACTGAGTGACCTCAGTCAACCTCATGAAGAGCAGAAGAATCGCCTAGCTGTGCCCTGACTAAATTCCCAACCTACACAATCAGTAAGCTGTAACAAAATAGTTGTTGTTTTCAGCCACTAAGTTTTGGAATGGTTCACTGCACAGAAATGGTGACTGGGGTCAGGTAAACTAGGACTCACTAAATGAGAGGTGTGTGACTAAAAAGCCTACATACAACTGAAAGGAAAGGAGGATGGAAGAAAACTTGCATAAAGGTGTATGCTATTACTTGCAAAATGGTACACCAGGTGCCTTGACTAGTCCTTCTATTGAAAAATAACAAAATGCTGAACTTAACATTTTAAAATCATCTTAAATGTACTGATCAGCTGGTAAAAAAAAATAATAATAATACTTTGACAAAGAAGCATAGATGAAGAAGAAGCCCAGAGAAATACGCTAAGCAGGGCACTGAAACTGGCTTTGACCTTGAGGGCAACTGTTATGTTAAATCAGTTGACTTCAAGCAGTCATTTTCATAGCCTGGTGAGATGCTAAAGACCAGGGACAAAACCTGCCCAAGGTGGAAATTCTAACAAATAATCCTCCTACCATAACGTGGGGCTCACATGGTATATTCTCACTGTAAGGGTGAACTAAAATTTCTGACCCCCAGAGTAAAGCAAAAATATATGCATGTTGGTACTTAGTGGATGAAGGAGAGAGGATGAAATTTACCCTGAGAATATGAATCCATAAGTCAGCCCTCAAATGAGTTTATACCCTGAATCATAGTACTAAGGTGGTTTAAAATAACTCACCTTGATAATCTAGTTTTAAAATAATATTAGATAAAAGAGGCTTTACAACCCAAAGCATTTCCCGAAAGAGTCTCATAATAAAGTTTCATCAGGAACATGTAATTATTCTAAACATATATATACTATTGATATCATCTCAGAATATATGAAGCAAAATTATATGGAGAAGGAAAAAAAACCCCATAAATGTAGTGGGTGATTTAAAATATTTTTCTTGGTACCTAATAGATCAAGCAACAGACAAAAAAACAAACAAACAAGCAAGCAAGCAAACAAAAAACCCTCCCACAATAAATGAATAAGAATACAGAAATCTAAATGAGACTTACAAGTTTGATCTTACAGCATGTTTAGAATATCGTACCCCAGAACTGTAGAACACACATTGTTTTGAAGGATACATGAAACATGTATAATTACTGACCACATACAATAAACATTCCAATGCATAAAGGTCACACCCCAAACCAATTAAATCAGGATCTTTGGAGGTGAGACCCAGACATCAGCATTTTTAAGCCTCCTCTGGTGATTGCAATGTGTAGCCAACATTGAGAACATCTGACACACAGGGTTATTAAAGCCTTCAGTGCTTCCATTAGAAAATAAGAAAGGATGAAAGTTAATGACCTAGGCAGTCCATCGTACATTAGAAAAGAACAGCCAAATAAAGTTTAAAAAATTGGGAGGAAGAAGATAAAAGAGCAAATAACAACATAGAAAACAAATATATACTAGAGATAGAGATGGTCAGCAAAGTTACAGGCATATCTCATACTTTCTAGAAGTGTCAATTCTAGGTAAATTAAGAACTTAATGTGAAATCAAAACTATAAACATTTTAGACAACAGTACAGGGGAATACATTTATGATTTTGGTATGGGAAGAATTTTTTTAAATACACAAAATCAATGGCTTGAGGGTATTGTGCTAAGTGTAATAAGATAAAGACGAATACTGTATGATCTTATATATGGAAAAATAAAACTCACAGAAAAAGAGATCATATATGTAGTTAACAGATTTGAGTATAGAGGGCATACCCAAATATGTAGAGGATTCTACCATGAAGAAAGACTAATTATTTTATGAGTGCTGTCGTTCCATAGCCAGAAAATTTTGCCAACCATTTGTTTTTAAATTCTTCACTTTAGGATCCCCCAAAAATAATTTCCAATACCCAATCACATTGCAGCACATTATTATGCACTGCAGCATAATAAAGGCCATATATGACAAACCCACAGCTCACATATTAAACGGTGAAAAGCTTTTCCTCTAAGTTCAGGAATCTTATCCTCTAAGATAAAAATGCCCACTCTCACCACTTTTTTTTTTTTTTTAAAGATTTTTATTGGGGAGTTGGGGGGATGGGAACAGTACTGGGGAATTGGGGGAAGGGGAACAGACAAGTTGTTGTCGTTTTGTTCTTCAGTCCAGTTGTGGAGGACGTTGCTTCACTGGCCCAAGTTGGCACCATCATTACGCTCTTCCCGAGCGAGGCAGATCAGTCGCTGGCTTCTGGACAGCCGCTCACTGCGGCTGCTGGCCGCTCACGCTGGTTGCTGGCTACACATGGTAGCCCATGGCAACCCACTGCCATAGGGGCTGCAGCCTACGCCTTCGCCGGCAACTCACGGTAGCCCAGCTCCAGGTTGAGCTGTTGTTCAGCATCTTAGCTGTGGAGGGCAGTGTCACTGGCCCTCATATGTGGGATCCAAACCGGGGCCCTTTGGCGTCCCAAGCCAGCTCTTAACCAATGTGCCACTCGGCTGGCCCCTAAAGAATAAATTTAACCAAGGACGTGAAAGACCTGTACACTGAAAATTACAGGGCATTAATGAAAAAAACTGAAGAATACACAAATAAATGGAAAGATATGTGCTTGACACATAGTAGGTGCTTTACAGAATGAAGCCTCCTATTAAAGTGTCAGCACAGAGTGTAATTAAATACCTAGTTCTAGTTAAGACTGGGTGTGGCATGAATTTATTCAACATCAAATTTTGCTTAGAAACAATAATTAGAAATAATTTTTGGGGGATCTTAAAGTGAAGAATTGAAAAACAAATGGTTGGCAAAATTCTTTGGCTATGGAACAACAGCACTCATAAAATAATTAGTCTTTTTGCACGGTACAATCCTCTACATATTTCAGCTTTTCTGAACTATAATCTATGATATAGATTAGAGGTTGGTAAGCCACGACCCGCAGACCAAATCTGACTCACCATCTGTTTTTCTAAATAAAGTTTTATCGGAACACACATTCACCCATTTACTTACATAGTGTCTATGGCTGCTTTCATATTACAGTGGCAGGGCTGAGCCGTTGCAACAAAGACTCTATGGCCCACCAAGCCTAAAATATTTACTCTCTGATCATTTATAGAAAATGTGTGCCGGCCTTGATACAGATCAACACCTTACCCATTGTTAACATACCCCTTTAAAATAATAACTAGGTATAAGTTATATTTTCTAGGGTAAGGATAAATCGTGGCTGAGGGAAAGCCTTGCTCTGCCTCCCTCCCCATATTCAGGTTGGAATGCAGGCAGGTTACATGGTAACTAAGAAGCAGTTTTTTTTCTGAGACTTAGTTGAAAGAACTACATTCATATTACTAAATCTGTCACATAAGTGGCTTAAATAATCAAAGATAAAAAATTGTTGGGATATTTGGTACTGTTCAGCCTCCTACGATGACTGAGTGGGGATAAGTGAGTATTGGAGCTTTTAGAAAAGCAACAAAATCATAAATAAATGAAACCATGACTATAGCCACTGGAGTTCTTGCCTTGTCTGCAGGCGTCAACCTGGCCCAGGGCTTGTCAGCCCGGCGATCGTAGTCGGGAGAATCGGTGACTTCCACATACTCGTTAAACCGCAGGATCCTTCGGGCTTGTAGCTCTGCCACTGTGGGTCTCAGGCTGAGCTGCAGAGGAACAGGGACAAAAGGACGAGTTCAGTAAATCATTTACAGCCTCACGGTGGCATGTTTTCTGTAGAGAAATTCACACTTATGATTAAATAAGGTCACTTGCAGATATTAGGGGAAAAAAAAGAAAAAAAGAGAAAAGGCAGCAGCATCTTGGGAGGTTCTAATGAGATCTAGGAAGCAGTGTGCCCTAATTTTGAGACTATAAAAATCATCACTGTTAGATAGGTCACAGACTTCAGCAACCGTGTGTATTATGCTATTTTCCCCAACTTGCCTGTTGTGATAAACGCACCTGTCATCCCTGATGCAGGGAACGTGAAGCAACACAGACACAGTAGAAATCCAGATATAGGATGGCTGGTTTGGGGATTGAATTATCAAGACAAAATCCCTGCAACTTTTAGAAATGAGAATAAAAGGTCTCGTTTCCTATTTTATTAAACCTGTATATTCAGAAACGAACTAAGGTATGACAAAGAAATGATCCAGTGAAGGGTATGCCTACGGCAGTCGTCCATGACAGGCTAAGGACCCAGGCCCAGATTTGATATTTACACTTGGCCAGAAAAGCTGATATGCAGGAACAAAGAGGGGGGACTTGATAGAGAACTGCATTTCAGTGGGGCCCTAATTACAACCTTGAAGGAACTTCTAATAACATGATTCCTCCAGTGGTCTTCGTCAAATTCAAATTCACAGTTACATTTAATCTCCCCAGCCCTGGGTGTATTTGCTTTCCTTTGTTGGTTCTTTCTCAAGCCCAAGAATGAGACAGAGATGGTTCTGAGAGACCAAAGAAACATGTCCCCCTAGTTGACAGGCATCACCTATTCTTTGTTACGGAGGTTCGTGCTTTTGTGGCCTTTCTCAGTTGGGAAGTGTCTACCTATTGTCAGATAGGTAGACCCAGGCCTCTGTTTTACCCATGGGTCCGTTTTCACTATCTTTTCTCTGCATATATGTACTCTGTAGATATCGAAACTATCCATTATCTAAGTGATCCTCTTTGGAGGTGTTTCTCATTTGCATAGGCTCAATTTTTGAGAAAATTAAGCACAATCACAAAAATTGTTTTTGTCGTCAAAAACACACCCTTTCCTGGGCCTCAGTTTCCTGCTGAGGAAAATCAGAGGCGGAACTAAGTCAACGTTCTAACATTTAAAGCATTCAAAGCCTCTTAGAAGGCCTGGGTCTACACCGGAGGCCATGTGAGTTAGGATATGGCAGCTGCAGCTCTTTCTAGCTTCATAAAGTCTTGGTAGGCAATGGACGAAGAATAATCTAAGTGGTTCTGTTGTGCTCTCAGTTGCTGTTCAAGCTATACCACTAGCTTCTTACTGCCTCTCCAGGGCAGGTGGGGTTAAGGAGGTACAGAAATGCTAGCCTCTGGGGACTGGCGAAAAGGAAAGTGACCAATGGCCTACAGTTCAGAAATTCTCCATCCGGTCTTGCCCTTGAGGAGTGTGCCAGGTACAGGAGAGCTATTAGTGCTATGGGCTGTCCTACACCCATGGCAGGGCACTCTGTATAGAGGGGGCAACTAGCGACAAGAGGAAGGCCAAGCTCTATTACCTCCTGAAACAACCCAACTGGATTGAGGAAAGACCACATAAATGCATAGCTGGGGTCACCCTGGAGCAATGAGGTGGGGACTACTGCTTAGCTGGAAACCTAACAGCCACTGAAGGCTCGAAGAGCCTTCTCTAAAAATTCAGTTTACAGAGTCTTTTTCAGTTGGATCATTATTTGATATTTAGGGTCTTTGGGATAGAAAAGGATGAATTAAGGGTTTTTTTCCCCCTAAAAATAAAAAACAAAGGCTCAAAATACAGTCTCCAACTTTTCCACGGGTACAGAGTGTTTCTTCTACCTGCCTTAGAATGCCTTTGCTGTGGACTCTCCAGCCAGCCCAGATAAATAAGGTAATAGTCAGGTCACACACTTCACTGCAAATGTATACGTACTTTACTCATCCTGCCTTATCCAGGTGTGAAAGGTATACCTGAAGAATTACTGAACAAGGATTTATAATGAAACATAAACTCTGATAGTGCTTAATTTTTCCGAAGACTATTATTATTTTGACACTTACAGAAAAAAGAGATAGGCCTGGTATCATTTATATTTTCATAAATGGGTGGAAACAACTCTATGAGGTAAGTCTTTTGTCAATTTGGGCAGCACTGCAGTAGGCAGGCTGGATGCTCAAGTTCATATAAAAAATTACTCACCCAGGTCAGCTATGGAACAGTGACAAATCTTTGCATTTAATGATTTTTTCAAACAGGCTCTTTTCATAATCATTAAATGCACTTTAAAACTTTGGTTAACATAAAAATTAACATATGCAATTATAAATATAAACATAATTTACACTGTAGGCATTACATTGATTTCCATGTCTATGATCTGTTAGTAGACTAACAGAAAGAAATAATTATTTCTGAATATCAGATTTACATAGAGAGAGCTGATATGCATTTAAAAAATGAAGTGTATCTCAAAACACACATGATCATTAACAGTCACAGTTTCATCACCTTTCTGCTGAGTCTGCGTTTAAGTTCCATTTTTGCTTCTTGTTCTTCTTCTTCATTCTTTTCTGTTTATTAATGGGGAGGAGGGGAGGCATGAAGACAGTTACTATAAATGATTTTATAATCAGAAAAGTAAATCACGCCACAATTATTTGACTCTAACAGATATTGATCAAACATTCCACCAACATCTTTAAAAAAAGATTTTGCAGAAAGGTCATTTATTAATGTGTGTGTGTGTGTGTGTGTGTAATTTTTTTTTCCTTATAGAACTGGTTTATTTACTAATTGTAAACCTTTTTGCTTCTTGACTGCTTATTCTATTCTGAAAATACCACAAGAGTGCCCCTATTCTGGTGAAAGCCTTGTATTGCCGATCATCTCATTGATTTATAAGCACAGTTTAACAGAATTCAGATAAAAATTTACTTCTGGATTTGGCTTTCACATAAAAATCTGAGACATATCAAAAAGAACAAATTAGCACTATCTATCTAATGCATGTCTGAGTTGCTTTCCACAGAAGCAGAAGGTAATCATGTCTTTGACTTTGCTTTCAAACCAGAATATTCTGATGGGGTTATGGTATACTGTTAATGAAGATGATTTATTTTCTTGTGACTTCGACTTTCTAAAGTCTTCTTGTTCTCTAGTACCTCACCAAGTCATGCAATTTAATGGCCGTCTTAAATGAATGCTGTCCAACAGATGGGACTAAGAGAAAAATGTACAGAATTTTAAAAGAAATAAACACCCTTTCCAGGTTTTAATGGTTGCTTATTTGATGAACTTCTTGCTGTTGCTTCCTGTAGCTAATCCTTTGTTCGATTTTACTTCTTGGGTACCAATGCTTACGAAAAAGAATCTTTTAGAGACTGCTGTTATGAAGTCTATTGAAGGAAAAAAAAATCACTCTATAAAGGCTCAACCAAAATGGTGAAAAGAAAAGTCTCCTCATGAAAAGACAATTATTTTAAAAATTCAAATAGACTTCTTACCACTAACATTATTTTTGTCATGAATAAAATACCAGCATATGCAATATTTGCAACATTTATATTTGTTAGTTGATCACGCTAAATCTCTATTAATTTTCCTTATCTGGACAGGAGAAAGTTTGTATGTTCTTCTGATTATTTAGACAAACAATGAACATAAACTGAATTACCCTGCAGGACAAGAAATAACTAGTTAGTATGCTTTCATTAAGTTCCAGTGAGCATTAAACAAATTTGGTTATAATTTAATTTCTTTCTATAAAAATACTGTAGGTATCATTTGATACCCTTAAACTACATCATTAGGATCAAATAATTACCTTATATTAATTGGATAAGACATGTAGTTTGTAAATTATACATTAACAGACAAACACCAAATTTGTGGTTCACGTGATTCAAACTAGGGCTTTACAAGCTCAAGCTTTTGATGATATTACTAATAAAAAGAAAAATATAATCCTCAAAACATTTCAGTCAGGTTTTCCTATACAGTGATTATGCTACATTTCTAAAGGTACTTTTAAAAGATGAAAAATAATGGCTATCTAATATGACTCAAAGCTAACAAATGCTCCAATTTTCATGAAGTACACAAAATGTCATTTTCTTGAAGGGAATATTAGATTTTGGGGGTTTTTTTAGATTTTTTTTTTTGATTGGGGAATTAGGGGATGGCAGCAGTGCCGGGGAATTGGGGGAAGGGGAACAGAAAAGTTGCTGTCTTTTTGTTCTTCAGTCTAGTTGTGGAGAACGTTGCTTCACTGGCCCAAGTTGGGACCATCATTTCGCTCTTCCCAGGTGAGGCAGACCAGTCAGTTACTGGCTTCTGGATGGCTGCTCACTGAGGTTGCTGGCCGCTCATGTTGGCTGCTGGCTACACACGGTAGCCCATGGCAACCCACGCCGACGCCGGCAGCCCAGCTCCAGGTTGAGCTGTTGTTCAGCATCTTAGCTGTGGAGGGCAGTGTCACTGGCCCTCATATGTGGCATCCAAACCGGGGCCCTGGCGTCCAAAGCCAGCTCTTAACCAACGTGCCACTCGGTCGGCCCATAGATATTTTTGCCTTATTAAAATAAGCATATTGCACAACTAAGTGACAGCCAGTGATGTTTTAAAAAAAGGAGGGCCAGTTGCCATTAGGGGAGCAAAACAAACAGGATTTTACCATTTAAGAATTCTTTTTAAACAGCAGGAGCTGACTTCCTTACATTTCCCACTTTTGAAATTGTGCTTCTAAAGAAGCTAGAGGAAAGCCAATGTGACTGTTCTTATGAATCTTATCAGCCATTGTAAAATTTCTAGCGAAGAGTCAAGATTAAACCTTAAACTTAGTTTTAAAAAATTAACTGAGTTTCTTGAATGTTTCCTTCTTTTTTTTTTTTTTTTGGATTTATTAGAGGGCTAATTATAAAGTAAGATGTAAACTTTTCTGGCCAGTTTAAACAGACTGGAGGAATATTCATAAGGGAAGTGATGTGGCTCGTTGACAAATCTTGCCCTCAGTAACTCTCATCAGAGCAGAGAGAGGCGGATATTTCAGAATAGCCACAGGAAGCATTTGCCATAAACACATAAGCAATACATGAGGTTTGACAGGGTGTGCACTACAGGAAAGCTGCCTAGCTAGAGAACGTTGCCCAGAGCATTTTGTGGCTGAGCTAAAAGGCGGGGCGGGGGGAGAGGGGGAGTACTGAAAGACCAACCAACTAGAGTGTTATATTCTTGAATCATAAATTCAGATAAAATGGGGTTAAAAAAGCCGAACTATTATTTGTGGGTTCCTCTCTTTTTGGTGTTTTACATGTTTCTGTATGGGTGATTTTAACAAGTGAAAATACATTTATCAACCTACTGTGAAATGCATCCCCCCTCCAAAAAAAAAAAAGATGGGTCAATGGAAGGACCGATAGGTGATCAAGCAGATGTTAATGGTAGAATATAAATATTTGAGTGTTTACTCTAAAATTCTTGCAACTTTTATGTAGGTTAAAAAAATTTCATAATAAAATGTTGGGGGGCAAAAAATGCAGAACTCAACAGCCGCGTACATTTTTTCCCCTAGAGACGCTATAGCTGGAATTACAGTCATGGCTAAATAGTACGAGAAGATCCTTATCTTTTATCCCTGCCCTGAAAAACAAATGTTCCATATGCATCACTTTTCCTGATAAGCAAAAGTTGACCTTTCGAGCACCAATACTTGCTTTCTATTTTAACAATTTTAAGGAGCTGGTTCTAAAAACACGGCTGAACATAACTTTTTATGAACTTTAAAATGCTAGATGCACTAAAATAGGAAGAAATCAAGTAAGTTGTGCTAATGGGGATAATACTAAGAAATAAAATCTGTCCTGTGGTCTCCAATTAAAGCTAGGAGCTATGAGCATTGACTACCATCTGACTCACGCGTATTAAACAAGCGATGAGCGGGGGTTTGAGAACTGCTAAGTATTTAACACTGTGAATAATTTCCCTAATCTGTCGAGGGAAGGTGACCTAGTTAAAAGTAAGTGTCCTTAAAAAAACCATACCATGTCACATATAGACTTTTCTACAAATAGACAATCATACTGCTTTTGAACAAAAACTGGCGATGAAATATACAAACACACAAGAGCAATTGATGTGGAAGAACCCAGAGGCAAAAGGGGGCTGAATAAAGTGTCATAAGCTATGGCATTTATTTCCCTGGGACTGCTCGGCAGAATGCTCTGGATGACCTCCATCAGTTCTCGTTTCTGCTTCCCTTGGCCATACAATATTATGTCAGGAGATCATAAGCCAGTTATCTGCCTCTCCAGACTGGAAATGTGTCTTTTGTTTCCAGAAAAAGCATGCTTAAACAAACTGAAAAGGAAGTAAATAAGAGCTGAAGTCAAATCCGAAGTTGACTTTGGCGTTTCACGCTTTCCTGAACCTCCAGGAAAATGGGGTATGAAAGCCAGCACAGCACTTAAGATCAATGTGTGATAAATTTCTAGATCTATGAAACAGTTCCTCAAATAACCAAACACCAGCGTGGTTTAGCACTGTTTGTCTCAAAGGAGAAGGAAAGAATAACCCAGAATTTGCTCTTCCTTTTTTTTCTAGGTATTGCATCAGGCATCCAATAAAAAATAATCTGTGTTTTAGGAGCTTATGTATGCATTTGAGCTTATCTACATGTTAATTCAACAAATATTTTCCAGGAACCTATTATCAAAAGCCATGAGCCTTTTTTGATTTTGTTTGGTTGTCAAAATTAGATCTCATTTTAGAAAGCTAAAACATTTTTTGTCTTTTCTAACCATGACATTCTTCCCTCTCCAAAGTGGCACCTGTACCCACTGATACACATGGATGGTCACTGAAGTCCTTTCTTGGGTTCCAGTTATGATAGCAAATAGAAAAAAATATTCCAAGAAAGACAATCCCCTAGATTGGCAATTCCTCTCACTGTTCAGTCTTCATTGTTGGGTTGTTATAGTAATAGCAACCATAGTATAATATAAATATGCTATTAAAACCCTTCTTTCCTTCAGGAAAGAAAAACAACTCAGATTGGAGTACAGGGATCCCAGGCAGGTGAACTTGGCTCCCAAAGCTTGGTTGAAAAAGGTTTCCTGCACACCAGTGGGTCACGACTATTGCAGGGTTTATCCAGCATTCTGCCCAACTCTGCTCTTTTATATTTCATACAACAGAAAGCTCTTGTGAAACTGGGTCAATAATATATAAAACTACAGTGGCTCAATTTAAAAATATCCATTACTGAACTCACTGTGGTTAGTAACCACACTGATACACTGTAGCACGACACACTGTGCTTCCGTTAGTTTTATAGCTTTAACATATGAACTTCAATGATTTTAATATGACTGGACTGGTGAATAAAAAGTAAAGTCAAAGAAAATAGAGGGAAACACAGAATGGGAAAATAAAGTTAGGAAAATGAATGGAGAACTCCGTTCGTGCTGAGAAATTATAAACAATAGAAACTCAAGAGCGAAACAGAGCTATCATAACAAAGGAAAATGAAATGGACTGAAAAACTCCTTTGACTCTAATTCTGTTTTAAATTGAGTCACTTGTTAAACCTGGCAGCAAACTGCATTATTAATAATAATATAGGAATGTTTGATTTATTTCTTTGTGTATTCTCTGGCCTTTTCTTTGACACGTATTTGCAAGCAGACGAGAGCATTTCCTTTTATTTGGTATCTGGGTGAAAGAATAAATGGAATATATTTCATCTTTCTTAAAAACAATTGTCACAACCATGACTGGTCTGGAGGATATTAGGCTCAAAGCCAAAAAATGAAATACAAACTTCTAGAAATTATTTTTTAAATTACATAAATGATGACATTAAAAATGTGATCTAAATGGGCCATAGCAATCATCTGTGAATAAATAGATTATGGTTTTGCACTGATAAATGGATGGTCTCTTAAGGGAGCTTGTTAATGGTTACACAAGGAATCAAAGTATAGTACAGGATACTCACGTTTTAGGATATTTCTTTGTTCTAATTCTTCAGTTGTGGGCCTCTGGCTAAGTCTCCTATGATGACAAAAAGGATATATTGCAGGTTACAAACAAGGCACCCTTAGTGAGGGACAAATGAAACAAACAAAGCTATATTTTTTCATGTTTTGAGAAACAAAAATCCATTTTTAAACCTAGAAAATAAAGTCTCCTTTCCATTAGTTTGGAGGCTCGAGACTGTGGCTGAGACTGCCGACTAACCCCTATTATCTACTCTCCCTTCTTCCTTCCAGAAACAGAACCCCCTGAGCTTTCGCTGTAGCTCCCCAGCCACAGACTTCTGTCTCCCGAGCAGTAAGGTGTGGCTACAGGACCAAGTCCTTGCAATAGGATGTGAGCAGTCGTGGTGTTTGTAATTTCCACTTTTTACCCTTAAAATGGGTGGATGTATGCCTCCTTCTCTATCCTCCCTTCTTCCGCAGGCCAGCACTTAAGCACGGTCATGTGGGCCCGAGCGGCTCATGGAGGTGAGGATATTTATGGGGATGGAAGAACCACTAGACGAAAGGGACCTGGGTGGCTGACTGACCGCAAGGAGCACTCTCCCCGGCCATGTTGCATAGTCTACCTACCTCTTGGCTGTTATGTGAAAAAGAAATAAACATGTGAAAGGGCCGGTTTGGGCCACTATACTTTTTAGTCTGTTAAACCGGCTTCGCCTTTTCCCTCACTAATATACAGTCATTAGGATCTAAAGAAAGGCTGCTGCTCGAGAGTTCCTATCAACTCAGGAGCTGGTCCATCTACACTGCACAGTGTTTTAAGTGAAAAATTACTTTTGTGACCTCAAATGAATTTCCAATATATACAGTTATCTTGAGATCCATACGGCCCTGCCCATCTGCCTTCAAGACAAGCCAGGCTTGTTTGTGATTAATAGCTATTTGTATACAATAGCTGAATGTCCTAATAACCCTTTAGAGCTCTGTTATTGGACTTGTGTACATTATTCATTTGTTGTTAATCACCGACAAAAACCTCCACTGGATGTAGGCTGAGTTTGTGCAAATTAAACTAATATACATGAAAGGTAATTTTAACATAGATGCTATCAATTCTAAATTTTTATGGCTCTGACAGAAATGGTTAGAAGAATTGAAACCAATGACCTTTTAAATACCTCGTTAAAATTTTTGTTCAAGTTTAATCTTCATCACAGCTACTTTGAAATTCACTTAAGTAATTGAATCCACAAGAGAGCCCAGTGAACATCTATGCCAGCCGGATTTTGTGCCATCATGTACCCAGGTATGCTGTACTACATATCTGCGATATGTCATCCCCCAAAGACATCATCCTTCCTTTGTTTATGGGGTATCCTCCCTCTAGAAAAACTTTCTCCCCTCCAGCTCCTGATATCTTACAAATGGTCAAAAGGGTACCTTAAAGGTGGGTGGTGTTTGACTTGTCCTGCAAGTGAGAATTAAAGGCTCCTGGTTCTTTGCTCCAATATAGTAGTTATATATAGACTATACACCTTTTAAAGCATTTACCACACAGGGAATTATATAAAGATAATAATCATAGCTCTCATAGTTCACATTTTTAAAATCCCATGTACTGTGCTAAGTGCTTAACTTACATTATCTTGAATTCCTCAAAACAATTCACCAATGCAGCAGTGAATTTCCATTTTACAGATGAGGAAATGAGAGATTAATTCACTTGCCAATGATAGAATGCTACTGACTGCTAAGGCCAGGATTCATACCTAGTTCACTTGACTGAGAAGTGTGCGCTTGTCACGTGACCCCATCATGCACTATATAATTCTGTCTCTTTCACTTGACATGGATTTCTCTAAGCAGAAGAGTGGGTGATTTATCTTTGAACGACAGTGATTAGATGTGTCATGTTGGTAGGAAAACAATTCTGTAAAATTTACGTATTTATAACCCAAAAAACCCAGCTCTGTTAAAATTTTTTATGTGTGTACTTACAGACTTTGAGGTGGAATCTTATATAAAACAGACAGAAGAGGTGCTGACCGGGTTGGATGGTTAGACCTAGGATGTGGGAGTCCCCTCCCATCCCACCACCAAAACATCCATACTTTCCCATAGAAGCCCAAGTATCACGTCCTTGTGATACCCCTCTGAGTATCCAATCCTTGATGAAGCTGTTAGACAACCACTGCTCTGTGGTTATTTCATCGTATCAACTTCTCACAACATTCTTCATCAGTTCCCTGTTTTTGAAGTGCGGTTTGTTTTAATTTGTCAATGCTATAAATAGCCTAAAATAAACACCTTTGTAAAATATAGGCTTTTGGTTTTTTTTTCCTTTTGGGTTATTTCCCTCTAGTATTGGCTCCCAAACAGAATTACCATGTAAAGAGATAGGCTACTTTATAATTCTTTTTTTCATATTGTTAAGTTGTTCTTCAGAAACACCGAACAAGAGCAAGCTACTATATGTGTCCCCTTTTCTCATAAAGTTGCCAACATTGGGTTAATTTTTAAAAGTGTTTTCACTAGTTTAAGAGATTATAATAATTTAAATTAATAACAAAAATTTAATTCTATTAAGTGCTTGCTATGACCCCGGCACAAAAGTGCCTTCAGTGTATCATCTCATTTAATCTGCACAAACCCCTGCTTCGCCCCATTTGTAAAATAGACAATGACCTCTGTAGCCCCCACCCATCAACCCGGAAGGTAAACCGCAGTCATAGAAGTCTCCCACTTCCAAGCAAGGGGAGGAATTTCCTCCCCCCTCCAAATCCTGCTCTGGTATTCCAGACCGTTCCCTTCTCCCAATGTATACACCCTGTTGTTTATGCACAATGAGAGAAGTCAACAAAATAACTAATATTTAAACATGCTTAAGCTGATAATAAACAATGAGAGCTTCAGCACTCATCTCTGTGAAAGCCGTCAGTTAAATGGACTTCCAAAGTTATTAGTGGTAAAAGTAGAAATCCTACAATGGCTGGAGGCAGGAAGAGAAGTCAGACAGCCCTTTACTTGAAGTTAAAAGACTATGATTGGGGGCTATGATTACTTGACTTGGACAGAGCTGGTCCTTGAAGCTAACTAATATTTTTACAGTCTCATAGCCCACAGCACAGAACCTCCTGGAAATTATAGAAATGCTTGTCAGTCCATGAATTTGGCCTGCCACCTGCTTTGATGAATAATATTTTATTGGACCACGGCCACACTCATCTGTTTATGGATAGTTTATGGCTGCTTTCATGCCACAAGAGCACAGTTGAGTAGCTGCAACAGAGACCTCTTAGCAGTGAAACATGAACTATTTTACCAACAGGTCCTTTATAGAAAAACTTTGTTGACCACTGGATCAGGCTTTGGCGGCCTCAAAGCTACTGACCAGCTGGACCAAAGGGCAGGTTCTTTGAGTGGGCCATCATCCAGGACCAACTTTAAAAGACCAAATAGGCCAGGTGTGCTCTTACACAAGGCATTCACAATTACCTCAGGTAGGAAACTGCAGAAGGGAGAAAAGTATGCATTAGTCAGTGCTGTACTAACATTTCAGCAATTACCTCACTAGCTTGGTTCCAATTTGTTGTCGGATTTCCTGCCTCTCTTCTTCAGATGTACGCTGCAAGATGTTTTTGTCCTCTAATTCTTTCTTAGATGGTCTGTTGCCAAGTTTGATAGCAAGAGTATCCCTTCGTCGGATTTTACTTGCCAAAGCACCTGAGGATTGGAAAAGGCAGAAATGCAGAGAAAGAGGCTTTTAGCAAAAGGCACTCAGGTTACAGGTGGCATGGACTTTCAACAGAGTCCAGACCAAATTCTTTGTCCACATGCAAGAGTGGAATTTTAATTAACCTAAGGGAAAATAAAGGTTTTAGTTGGATGTAGTTCATTTTGGAAAACTGGAGAACTATTTTTAAAAATGTTCTGAAAAATGGTAGGGCACCATGAAAAACTTTTATGTATCACCTCACTTCATCACTTGGAAAGTGATATTTGAAGTTTATTTTGCTGCAATGGCACATCAGGATTGCATAATGCCCTTTCTTTCTTTCCTTTTCAAGTCTTAATAACTTAGCTCCTTATACTGTAGAGTAAATCCTTGTCTTCCCTTTTCCTCTACTCAGAAACCACACCAGCAAAAGTCTACCTTTGATACTAATATTTTAATCTTAAATTACCCTAGAATTGATGACATCTCCACAGATGACAATTAATACAAAACAGATAACAATGATTTTTGTTGTTGTTTTTCAGTACAAACTGATGCTTAAGCATTAACATACTAACTTTTCATAATCTGTAAATTCAATTCCACAATGAATTAATTCCTCCCAAGTCATCCTGTTCAGATTTTTTTTTTTTAAAAAATAGCACTTTCTAGTTCCCTAAGTTATACATAAATGGTTGGCTTTATCCACTTTACTATCATTCCTTCCTAGAAGGCATACTTATTGTGGATGAGTGATTAATTCTTAAAAGGTATTTGTCACTCTTGACTAATTTCTCACTCCTATTTCTTTAAACCCCAGCATAAAAATAAGGGAAACTCTCAAACATCTCCAATGAGTAATTCAGGGACTCCTCTATTGATGCTCTTTATTCAAGAGAGATCCCTGGGGAAGGGCCATTGTTGATCATCCTGAGAAAAACCTGTCATTGGAAAGCTTTGAGTCCGTATAAATACAAATGTGCCTATCTGCCGCATAGATGAAGGGATGCCTTCCCCCTACCACTCCTTGTGGAATCATCTTTGGAGTGGCCTGTCATCAAAAGCTAAACCCTTAGGATAGACACATTTCCAATTTGAGAAGGAATATGAGGGTAAAGAGACCATCAGATTATCTGGCTCCTGATGAGGCTTTTGTTCTTTACAAAACGCAACTGCTTTTGTCCACTTTCCTCCCTACCTCTTGGAAAAAAGTCTTACTTTCTCCACTGCCATCTTCATCCTCATCGTCGTCGTCGTCATCTGTGTACAAGATCGGCCCATCGGAGTCCGAGTCATTGGCCCGGTACTCCCTTTGGCCTTCATCCTCCGGGGCACTGAAGGATTCTGAAGAGTCTCCCATCAGCCCAGGGACCAGTAGCTGCGGTGCTGCCTTTCCCAGCTCCTCTTTGGTTGTGAAACTGTTGAAGGGACAGAAACATAGGGGTGGTGTGAAGCCGAGAGCAACCCTCTGAGGCAACACCAACACCAGAAGTGCTGGTTTCCCCAGCACCCTTCAGGCTGGTGAAGGGAGAAAGCTGGCATAGGCCAGCTAAATGGAAGTTTCAATGGCTTAATTCTCAGTTTTAGATTTGTCATCTGTAAAATGAAAAGGATTGACTAGATGGTGACTGATATATTTAGTACGTGAATACGGTAAAACTGTATTTTGCAATTTTATTTTCCTGTAGCAACTGGGATTCAGTGGAAAGAACAATGGGCTAGGAGCTCCTGAGTATCTATCCGACTTGGTGCTTTTTCTTTGACCTGTAACTCCTATTTATCCACAAGTCTCAGCGAAAGCCTCAGCTCCTTCAGGGATCTGTCACAAACCTTCAGGCTAGCTCCTTGCCCCATCGCCCTGCTCCCACGGTGACCTGAAGAAAACCCCATTGGAGCAGCTGGCACTCTACACCTCAGTCACCATTTACTTGTCTGCCTTCCCAACCCCTCAAGTTCCTAAACAAGTAGGACTTATACTGCTTTGCAGCCCAACACTTAGGAGGGTAGTGACATAGCAAAGAACATCTTCTTTAATTGATATACGAATGAATCCTATTGTCATCACAGCACATGTGTTAACAGTAAAAAATTATGTATCCTCTCTGTGCTTACGTTCTGCCATTTGTAAACCTGCCTGCCACAGGTCATATGAATAATGTGAGATGGAAAGTGTGAAAGTTAAATGGACTCTTTAGAAGAAAAGTAATGTGTAAGGATGCAGACATTTTCTATTGTTTAGCTTGGTAAGAGTCTCTGGTTTAAAGTTCCTATAAATATACAAAGCTTGCCAACTTGTACAGACTAGATTAAAAATATACATAAAAACACATTCTATCGAAAACAATATAATCTTCATTTTAAGATACAGAAGATCCTTAAATCGCTTTCTGATAGAAATAGAAGAATCTAAATTTGGATGTCATACTTCTGAAAGGATGTTTAGTGCAAAACATGTGCTTGCTGTTCTCATTAACTAAAAAAAGCCAAAAACCAGTTCTTTGTATTAAAAAAAAAAGGTAAATTCTGCCAGAACCTGAGGTATTGAAAATTCTACTTTGTGCTTATAAGCCCATATGCTCTCAAAAGCCTCTATTTTTCACATATTAGAAAAACCCAACAGCCAAAATCTTGTTTTCAGATGGGGAATTATGAAATTTTACTTTTCATTGTGTAAAGTATATATAGAATAAAATTTACCATTTTAATCATTTTGAAGTGTACAGTTCAGTGGCATTAAGTATATTCACACTGTTGTGCAACCATCACCACCATCTATCCCCAGGACTTTTTCAGCTTCCCAAAACTCTGTACCCATTAAACAATAACTCCCCATTCTTCCTCCACCAGCTCTCGGCAGCTACCACTCTACTTTTTGTCCCTATGAGTTGTACTATTTTAGGTGTTTCATATAAGGGAAATTATACATTTGTCCTTTTGTGTCTGACCTACTTCGCGTAGCATGTCTTCAAGGTTCATCCATGTGGTAGCATGTGTGAGAATTTCTTTCCTTGTTAAGGCTGAATAATATTCCACTGTAAGTAGATGCCACATTTTATTTGTCCATTTATCAGCTAAAGGATACTTGGGTTGTTTCCACCTTTTGGTTATTGTGAATAACGCTCCTATGAATTTCAGTGTATAAATATCTGTTTGAGTATCTGCTTTCATTTTTATGGGCTCTATATATCTGGAACTGCAGGATCACATGGTAACTCCACGTTTAATTTTTTGAGGAACCTCCATATGGTTTCCATGGTGTGAAATCTCCTTTTAAATAAGAGAAGATCTATTTTATGGAAAAACTTTTCCAGTCTGGATTTCTAGTTGATTGCCACTAGAAGCCATGCTGGTGTGAATAGCTTCCCACTGTGGGGACCACCGCATGTTTCAAAGACACGCCAATTAATAACACATTCCAAGGAGCAGAACAAAAGACACTTCAAGGTTGAGCTCTGGCATTTGTGCATGTCACTGCTCATTCATCTAATATTAAGTAAGCAATTATTATTTTAATCACATCATTTGTATTTTATAATGTTTTGCAGTTTTCAAAGACTTCTGCCTACTAGTTACAACTTACAACTGTCCTATAGCATAAGAGGGCAGATAATTTACATAGTTTGTGGAACCCGGGAAGTCATGCGTGGCCCAACCACGGCAGCACGTCCAGTCTAGAACCCAGGCTTAAGACTCTTAGTTTACCTATTCAATGTTATGCTATATCATATTTTATTTATACTTGATGTTATAAGTCATTAATATTATAACATGGGTTGTATTTAATGTTAAATATTAAACTCCAAATTTGTATCAACTAATTCATGACTTGTCCATTACACTTCTCTCAGGTTCCAGGGAAAAACTGGACAACACAGTGCACTCCATTGATGTTGGTGGAAATGGACTGAAGGGAGTCAAGTCCCTTTTGGATCTGGGCACTGGATGGGCTTATTAGTTTCTGCCTTAAATTATACCTGACATACACATTACTGATATAGCTGCCAATAAATAGAAATCTACCAAATCATTACTGCCCTGTAATATGTGAACAGAGGTCAATCTTTTTGCACATGGCCACTTGTCTTCTTTAAAGTTTTGATGTTTATATTCCTAACAGAAGCCTTTTCATAAGATGACATTATTTTCACATATTCGTTGACTACACATAACTGGGGGAGAGCGCTAAGTAAAGCAAGTGACTAAGAGCTAGAAACTCGAATTCAAATATCCACATAAAAACAGAAGAAAGGATTTGGAAGGAAATTTGAGACTACTTATTTGAGGCTCATTAATTCAAGAGCAAACACACATCATTCCTATGGGATGAACTGCAATTTAAACTTTTTACTTTGAAGAATATACAGAGAAGCAAATCTCTATGCCTTCTTCTAGGAAAGCATGCCAGTTACTCTGAGTGACAGGAAAATCTATTATAAATACCTCAGTGTCTAATTATGTCCTACGTACTCTCTCTCTGATCAGTCCCAGTGGAAATGGAGGACAGATGCTCACCTCTTCTGGGTGACAATCCTGCACATCCTTGGGTTGAAGACTGATATTTAGCCCTCAGCATGCAGCATGGTACTTAGCCCAATTAGCGTCCTCCCTAAATGTTTGTGGAAGTGGATTGGACAGAGTGAGATCACGTTGTATATGGGCTCTCTCTGTGCTTAAGACCATCTAAGGAATCACTTTATATGTTACTTTTTCTTTAGTATATTCAACAATAAACACACTTACTCAATCTATTAAATTCAGGTTTATCTTAAACATTTATATTTCCTAGGCACATTGGACATCATGTTGGTTAAAAACTAATGTTAACTATAATGTCTTGCTCAGTTTTTATCTTTGGTGCTTAGTAGACCCCAGAACGCAGATTGTAAGCAAAAATATATGCTGAAAGAATGACTTTTTAGGTCTAAAGGATAGAATTGATTGCATGCTGGAAAACACACACTATAAATAAATGAAGACATCTGCTGTGTACTGGAAGTATTAGGGCTACTATAATAATTTCATTTTTATTTATATTTATTGGGGTCACACTGGTGAGTAAAATTATATAGGTTTCAAGTGTACATTTCTATAATACATCACCATATATCTGACCCCCTTTCCCTCTTCTACCATCCCCCCACCCCTTACCCTCTGGTAACCACTAAACTGTTGCCTGTGTCTATGAGTTTTTGTTTGTCTTGTTCCTTGGTTGCTTTCAGCCTTATATCCCACATATGATTGAAGTCATATGTATAACCATTCATTTTAATATCTTCTTTTCCCATAGTGTTTATTAAAATGTCAAACAAATAAAATAATTTGCAATTTAACAACTATTTACCATCCTTGGGTTTCCTTCCATTTGTGCTCAAGATGATAAAAACAAACAAACAAAAAAAACGCCCCAGGAAACAAACACAAAAGAAACTGCAGAAGTGGAAGCAACTACTTTGGAAATTTATAAAATTAGAGCATAGAATTTGTTGTGCAATTTATGTCTATATCCTGGCTCTGCCACTTACTAACTGGGTAATCTACTTTACTTTTTCAACCTCCCATTTTTTCATCATTTAAACAGAATTTTTTCGAAAAAGACTTATGTGAATTAATAACCGAACGGTTCTGGAAATAAAGAAGTACTTAAATGAAGGTGATTATTATCAGCAATTGAATAATTAAAGTTGATATTTTAGTCTCTTGATCCAGATCAATTAACATGCTAAATTTTTTTTTGCGTGCTAAATTTTTCAAGTCTAATATGACAAAGATTTTCTTGAAAGAGGAAATGTTAAATTAAACAATTTGAAAAGTGAATTGGTTTTTTATTCTTAGAAACAGGAGAAAAGAGGCTCCATTTAAGAGGTCTAAGCCTCCCCTATA